CGGATCGGTGCTTGGCCTCCGTCGTTCAGGATGGCGTTCTCGCCCCAGCGCGGGCCTTTTTCTCGCGCGCCCATCCGCCCGCCACCACCGCGCCGCACCGCCACCACCACCCCCACCACCACCACCACCACCACCACCACCACCACCACCACCACCACCACGACCACCACCACCACCACCACCACCACCACCACCACCACCACCACCACCACCACCACCACCACCACCACCACCACCACCACCACCACCACCACCACCACAACCACGCACACACGCACGCACGCGCACCACCACCCACTACGCACGCGCGCGCGGAGCCACAGGTCCGCTACGACACGCGTCCGCGGATAGAGAAAAACAGCGCCATGGTAAGGGATGGGAGGGAGGGGTAGGACGTCAGATATGACGCGAGCGCACCTAGCTTGATATGAAAATACTCTCCCTCTTCCCCTGATGGCGTCCGGGTGATGGCCGCGCACCCTCCGCGTACTGTTTTTTTACACACAGGATTCCCGGGAAATCCCGGGAAACGACTCTCGTTGAGGCGCCGGCGTCATTTTTTCCCAAAATGCTGCTCTCGTTGAGGCGCCGGCCTCATTTCTGCTCCCGAATCGTTCCGAATCGTGCTCCCGCTGCAGCGTGGGCCTCATTTTCGGATCGGTGCTTGGCCTCCGTCGTTCAGGATGGCGTTCTCGCCCCAGCTCGGGCCTTTTTCTCGCGCGCCCATCCGCCCGCCACCACCGCGCCGCACCGCCACCACCACGCACCACGTACCACCTACCACCACCCAAAACCACCGACCAGCACCATCACCAGCACCAACACCACACACCAAGCACCACCACCACCACCATGCACCACCACCCACCACCATCACCACACCTACCACCCACAACCACCACTACCATCACCACACCACGACAACCACGTCACACACGACCAGCAAAGCACGCACAGCACCGTGCACCACCACCCACTAGAAAGCTACGCACGCGCGCGCGGAGCCACATGGTCCGCTACGACCCGCTCCGCGTATAGAGAAAATCTACGCCATTGTAAGGATGGGAGGGAGGGGTAGGACGTCAGATATGACGCGAGCGCACCCTCTCCCCCGCCCCCGCCCCCCCCCCTCCGCGCCTCCCCCACCTCCTAGTCCGCCCCCCCTCTTCCCCGACCCCCCCCCCCGCGCGAAAGACGAAGGGGGGGCGATCGCGGGCGAGGAAGGAGAGGGGGGAGGAGGCAGAAGAAGAGAAAGAGGAAGAGAAAGAGGAGGAGGAGGAGGAGGAGGAGGAGGGCGAGGAGGAGGATAATCAGGAGGAGGAAGAAGAGGAGGAGGAGGAGGAGGAAAGAGGAGGAAGAGCAGGAGAGGGAGGAACAGAGGGAGGGAGGCGAGGAGGACGACGAGGAGAGGGCGACAGGAGGGGGAGGTGCTTGGAAGGGTGCGCGCCCTAGTAAACCTTACGGCGCTTGCAGGCATTTGGCAAATTCTAGCAACCAGCTGGCAAGGTTGCAGCAACCCCTGCTATCCCCCTACTAACGTGTAGCAAATCAGAACAACTAGTAATAAAGCAACGTAGCAGTTACAGTGTTTGTAGGGACTTGCGCAAACAGCTGTTCGTTGGGAGTTGCTCTTACTATGCATGATTGGAGCTTGCTTGAGGTTAGCTGCACAGTTACCTAAGGCGCCAGGGGGGGGCAGTAGCAGGTTATGTTACACGTTGCAGCGAGTTACAAGGAATAGGAACCTCTGGGTTAAACAGTTACTAGCATGGCTAGCGCGTGGGTTTACCGTCCTTAGCTAAAGGTTAGCAGAGGTCACCGCCTGGGCCGTTGTGATGCCATCTTGGGCGTCTTGGGCCTCCTTTGGGGCCGTCCTGGACTGTCTTGGGGGCCGTCTTGGGTGCATCGGTCGGAGATCTGGGGCCGTCTTGGTTTGGTTTGGGGGGGCTTGGACCCGAGATAGATGAGCCCACAGGCATTTGATGCCCCGCAGGGGGTGGCGGATCCATTGGGGCCACACTCTCAAACGGACCAGTGTTCTCTATAGCTGTTTAGGCTCTGTTGTGTTTGCTCTCACTTCGCACCCCGCCATGAGCTCACGCACGAACGCGGCCTTGCAGGCCATTCGGCCTCGGATGCTCGAGTTGCTTCTTAAATATCAGGAGGACGGGCAGGTGTGTAAGGCATGGGGCGACATTGTGGAGCTGCTCCAGACCAGCGAGCATCTCCATTGGATCCAGCAGGCCCTTCCGAAGTCCGTCGGTAGCCACACTAAGAATCGCGGTGGGCTTGGCGCATCGGTGCTATGTCCTCTCCTCTTGTCCTCTCAGGAGGATGAGGAGAAAGAGGAAGAGGAGGCGAAGAAGGAGGAGGAGTTCCTCCTCCTTCTTCGCTTCCTGTTCCTCTCATCCTTATCCTCTTCCTCTTCCTCCTCCTCCTCATATTCCTCCTGCCCCTGCTCCTCCTGCCCCTCCTGCTCCTCCTCCTTGGAAGTGTCCGTGGCCCTCTCCAACTTGAGCAACCACTGCTCGGCCGGGTGGTTGCTCTCCAAGGCCAACACAGCACCCTTCGCCATTGCCCTCGACAAGGGCTCGGCCTTCTATGAGGAGCTCACACAGTTCAACGCCAACTTGAGCGAGACCAGTGGCCTCGAGCCCCTGCAGGATTTGATGCTTGCCAGTTTCGGAGGGGCGCATTCGAACATCGCGTTGAGGGCAGTGCAGTCCAAGCTGGCGTGCGCTGACACCTCGATCGCGCCTGCTGGCTGCCTGGGCCCTGCCTTTCTATCCAACAGGCACCCTGGCTTGAAGGAGGCCCTGTCAAAGGGCCTCACTCGGAGGGTCATCGCGTCAGAGGTCGCCGAAGCTTTCCCCGGCATCCTGACCGTAGGCATTGCCGCCCTGAACCACACCGCGAATAGCGAGTGCAGCGGGCTCGAGGGCCTCCTCACTCGCCACGCTGTCTTCCAGCAGGCGGTCACCGCAGGTTGCGATGAGAACTCGGCCTGGGAGCAAGCCCGCGCCGCCGCCGTGAAGACCGAACCGTTTTGGTTGCAGTGGAGTCGGTCCTTGGTGCGTTTCGCGGAGGTGTGCTCCGCTGAACAGTTGCGCGAAGCCAGGGACATGCGCGCGGCCTCATTCAAGGCAGCCGCTACCCGACTGGAGGAGGGGGGAGGAGGAGAAAAGGAAGGAGGGGGAGGAAGGGGAAGCGGAGAAGGAGGTCACTGAGAATGCGCAACATTATTCCAATCATTTTGAAACATGTTGGGCGTGGAGGTGGAGAAGGAGGGGGGGGGGAGGGGGATGAGGGGGAGGAGGAGGAGGTGGAGGAGGAGGGGGAGGAGGAGGATGATGAGGGGGAGGAGGAGGCACGAGATGATGGCAGAAGGGAGTATTTTGTTAGCGATCCCAGGCGCCGAAAAACAGCGCAAGCTCATATGGACACGCTGGGGGTGGATTCTTGGATAAACTTGCGTCGATATCGTGGCCAACTTCGATTGTGCCGTTTCCAAGGGTGAGGCTCGCTTGTTTGATGACGCAAGTGTTGAGCCCGATCGAAAAGGTCATCGACGGGAAGTGCTGCTTTCTCAAGGAATCGGACATCGGGCGGTTGAGCCAGAAGGCGAACCTCGAAGCAGTCGAGATTGCCGAAAGTCTAGGGAATGGTTGCAAAACTTCCAGCTGCCGCGGTCGACGATGCTTCAGCTTATCTGCGCGCACGACATGAGGCTCCTGTGTTTCATCCTCAAGAAGGGCAAGGCGTCCTCGGAGGGAACCGACTACCCCAGCATTGAGGCCGCGTCGCAGGTTCTAGTGAACCAGCTGCTCGAGTTCACCGAGGGCGACGTCTCCAACCCGCGGTTGAAGCACAGGCTGCATGGCAAGCAGGAGCCAAAGGTGCATTCCACTCGTCCTCTCCTCCATCCGCTCCTCCTCCTTCGTCCTCCTTTTCCTCCTTCCTTCGCCTTATCCCCCTTCTCCTCCTCCTGCCTCCTTTCCTCCTTGTCCTCCTCCTCCCCCTCATCCTCCTAAATCGTGGAGTGCGCCCTTGGGTCTCGGCGGTTGCCTTCAGGTGCTTAGCGCGAGTGCCCCGCAGGAGGAAGCCGATGACACCCAGGCGATCGAACGGGTCTCTGGATCGCACGCCGCCCCCTTGATGAAGATGGGCGAAATGAAAGATCGCGTCTCGGATATGAATAAGCATGGTTTCTTCGTAGGTGTTTGCAAGAAAAAAAACAGAGCCCCGACGAGCCGATCCCACTGTGCAAGACTGGCCAGATGGACTCGACAGTTGCGCTGCTGATACCGACTGGAGCCCGCGCGTCCGATGGCAATCTATCCGTGGCTTTGCACGCGCTGAAGGAGGAGTGGGTACCTACGAGCGCCGAGGTCCAGGAGCTAATCAACTAGCAGCTGTGGGCGCCTGAGCATTCGCAGTCCTGGATGATCAAGTTCGCCAAGGCTAACCTGCTGGCGGCGCTTCGCGCCATGAGCGAGAAGATGATGGCCAACGATGCGTATAGTGGCCTCGACATCTTCGCGACGCCATTTGCGGTCAAGGCAAAAAAGGACTTCGGCGTCAATTGCCTTAACCTGGCGCCTGTCACCGACACCATCAAGGAGAGGGGCGCCACCGAGAAATCCAGCGACAAGGCCATCGACCTTGGCCAAGTGATCGGTGGATTGCCTGTCAGCTTCAGCCTGGTTCACCACGTGGTGGCGAACAAGCCAGACGGGAACTTCTGCGCGCCATTTTGGGCCGCGCAGCCAGCCCCCAACAAGGTAAAGGGGAACATGGAGTACATCAACAAGACGCTCAACATAACAATCGATCAGGACGACGATCCGATTGGCAAGGTTACTGTGACGATACCTGTGATGACCAACACCGTCGCTGTCAAGGCTGGCGACATACTCCACCTCGTCAGGAAGCGTGGCCTGAAGAGGCGCGACAGCGGTGAGTCCGCGAGCGGTGCAAACGTGAGGAGCAAGAAAAAGTAGTTTGTACAATTTCTTTGGCCTCAGCTACCTCCTGCAAGCCGGTCGGCGTGCGGGTTGCCGACGGTAGCAATGCCTGTGATCCGAGCTAGGAGGAATGATGAGGAGGAGGACGAGGAGGAGGAGGAGGAGGATGAGGAGGGGGGAGGAGGAGGAGGAATGATAGACGGAAGAACGGAAAACGATGTGGAGAAGGAGGAGGAGAGAAAGATGAGGAGGAGAGGGTGGACGAAGTAAGCTGGCATTTTTTCTGGATCACTGTGGTCGGCCTGTGTTTCGCAGCGCTGCCCGCCATCCGGTTGCATTCAGATATGGGCAGGCAGCCCCCCTTTAAGTGTCGACGTGGCGTGCTCTGTTGTTTAGTTCGGAGCTGCCGAGTGCAGCAGCAATGCGAATAGATCGAGGCTTCCAGTGGCAGGATGTCTCCTCCTCCTCCTGTGCATCCCCATCCTCCTCCTCATCGTCGCCATCACTCCTCCTTGACGCATTTTACGACCACCGCAATAACAAAGTCAAGAGGTCCCGAAGGGTTCAACGTAAAAGGCTCACCCCAAAAGGGCAACCCCAAAAGGGCCACCACAAACGGGCCACCACAAAAAAAATAAAACAGCGAAGGCGTGATACCACGAACGGGCAACCACAAAAGGGCAACCCCACAAGGCCACCCCGAACGGACCGCTCCAAAATGGCAACCACAAACACGCAGAAGGCCCACCCCGCAATGGGTACCCCAAATAGTACAACCCAACCAAACTCACGAATTATCGCGAGCAGCCCTGGCGCCTGAAGATGCATCGAGCCCCCTCGTTTGGACCCCCCGTAGCTATTTGGCTCAATCAGCTTTCGCTCTCTCTACTGGAATTTGTTGATACAATGCCATTCAGGTTTGAGTTTGCCAATCTGAAGCCCATCAAGGCAAGCAGAGGAACAGGCTTCCTCTCAAGTTTCCCAGCTAGCAGGCAGGTGACTCTCAGGTTTCAATCAAGTTTCCAGCCCAGCAACTTGGGAGGAAACTTTCAAGCCCAGATTGGCAAGCTAGCAGTTTGCAATCTGTTCAGAAGCAACAGGAGCGGGGGCATCTTGAGAGGAGTCACCTGCCTGCTAGCTGGGAGGTCTTCTCCTCCTCCTCCTCATCATCCTCCTCCTAGGGCCAAACGTCCTCTCGAGGCCCTGGATGTGGGCCACCGAGATCTGGGCAACCTTCCTCGAGCCGTGCTCGAAACGGTTGAAAGTGTAGTCTGTCACATCCTGCGGGCCGAGGGGAATGAGCGGAGGAAACCGATAGACAAGAAGACGATAGGTTGTTGAACGGGATGGGAAAGATGGGGAGGTAGTCAGAGGAGAAGAAGGGGCAGCAACAGCTGTAACAATAGCCTGCGGAACGTGCATGACCATCAACTCGTGAATGTGTCATCGCACACCGGAGCACACAGGGAAAGTACAGTGCGCCACGTAATGGCCAAATGCCGCTACCTGCAGCATGCACGTACGTTTCTAGATGGGGCGTCAACCACACAGCGCGCGTGAGCTTGGCGTGGTGTCCCTCTTACTCGCTTCACCATCTGCACATCCAACTCGTCGTGTCCACTCGTGTTCGTTCTTGTTCCGTGCCGCAGGCGCACTTTCACTGAACAGGGTTTCGATGACCATCCTGCCCTTTGCGTACTCTCAGTAGATATCATCCCCGTTTGGGGCAGCTATTCAGACGCCACCGGGCCGCCATGACGCGAACAGAGAAATCCCCCGGCCATGTCGGCGTGTGTGAGGAGGAGTGTCCTTGGGTGGTCCTCCAGGGGAGGTCCTGGGAGACACTTTTCCGTTCGAAGCTCTCTCCTCGTTTCCCTGCCGCCACCTATGGCTCTCCGAGCTCGCCATGCCGAGGTGAATCGACCCAGGGGAAACCCCAAATCCATTTGGTGCAGTTTTTCACCCCGGATCCGTTTTTGACGGCCCCCAGAGGCCGAACAAAAACAACAAACCTTCTCGAACCCAGAGCTTCGGACTTCGCCTCCCCTTCCTGCTGGCCGGAGCCAGTGCTGGGCTACCTCGGACCCCCAGAAGGCTCCAAGCGAAGCCCCCTTCCCTCTGATCACGTCTCCGCCAGGAGGGAGTTCAAGGGAGGGATGCGGGAGGTGCGAGGCGGGGAGCTATCCATGACCACCGCCAGCGAACCGACGTCCTGGGACCCCAGCGGGCGGCGGATATATTTGGGCCCCAGGGCCCCCGAATATTTATTTCCCAAAGTTCTCCGAGAGGTCACAAGTCCATCAGTACAGTGCCCGGTGATGAATCACCGTCTTAATCGGCCAACTGTTTTGCCAGCAGCTGTAATGGCAAGAGCGGCGGAGAGGGGGCGAGATCGGCCCGCTCGCTGGGCCTCCAGCCTCGCTGCAGCATCGAAGGCGTCCAAGTCCTCCACGACTTTGTTGGATAACTTCGGACATTCGAAAAGCTTCGATGTGCATGTCGTGCTCCTCGGATCCGATAGTTGCGCAATCGCCAAGAGTCTTGAACTGAATACGGTCTTGCAGACCGGGCACATGCCAGACGAGTCGATATAAAATCGAGCATCGCATCTGAAACCATGCGTCGCTCGTCTGTGAGACAGCAGAGCCTTCTGCGAATGAAAAGCAGGCGGGTCGACGACACCATCATTGGCAGAGTCGGGGCAAGCAAATGTGCGGGGAGGAGGGAGAGGAGGAGGGGGAATAGGGGGAACGCCCTGGTGCGCTCCGTCACCACACTCCATTTTGGTTCCTCCCGCAGCTTGGCCACTGTGCACATGACGATGACCTGCGGAATACGGACCGTCAGCGACCGATTCCGAATAGAAGAGCTGCTGCACGAGCGAGCTCCAAAAGGCTCCACAACCTCTGATGAATTTCCCCCACGTTGCTGGGGCCTCCGCTGGTGGAGGGAGAAAGAACTAAGACCTGGCAAGTACCCGGTCTTGCAGCACTGCCATGTCAGAAGGGATCAATTTGGTCCACGGCATGGGCTCGCCCTTTGGGCGAGCGTGCAGCAGCGCCAAGAGTTCCTGCGGGCCCGACGCGAGAATGCGATTCAAGTATAGCAAACGGGCTCGCTGCAACAGGCAATCCACAGACGGAAAATACATTTTGGCGCGTAGCTGAGCATCAGTGTGGTCAACTTTTTCCAAACCTGACCTCGCCAAAAATGCGGCGGACCGGCCTCATCATGACTACATTGAGCCTACGAATGTACTGACGAGTGGGCACTACAATATGCGCGTTGAAAAATAGCCGCGTGCACAAGAGCGAAGACACGAGGTGAAGCTTGACCCAATCATGGATGACAGGGGAAGCGAAAATCTTCACAGCGAGAGGGGAGTAGGCTGCCAACGTAGATTGCTCCTTATGCCTAGCATATGCCATGCAAGCTGAATCCAGCGACAAATTCGTGCCAAGATGCTTATAATGGTCGGCAACGAAGAGTCTGAGGATCTCCCGGGGACTTCAAAAGACAGCTGGCCGTCGTGACAGTGCGACGCGAAAACCTGCTGAGCCCCAGACCCCCGAAATCGAACCAAGGCCTCAGTCTTCCACTTGGACCAGTTGATCTCGAGGTCCAGTGCCGAGAAAGATTCCACCAAGGCCTTCAGAGCCTTCAGAGCCTTGGGGATGGCGGCCTCGAGCTGCCGCGCACTTTTGCTGGCGAGAACAATGCACTCGTCATCCACGAACGCACAATCAGAGATGTTGGCATGGCTTGCAGGAGGGTCGGCGACGGCCCCCCAAAACTCAGTCGTGCCGGGGCAGGGGAGTCGCAGAACCAATCCGGCCTCTTTGAGTTTATCTTTCAAGGCGGACAGTGCGATTGAATAAACGGCATTGAAAATCATGGCCCCTACCTCGCAGCCCTGGCAGCACCAGGGCCCCCGAATATTTTTGCTACTGCAAGGGATGTTAGTCTCAAGAGCGATGGGGAAGCTGTACAAAGACACAAAGAATGACGGGCGTCGAGCTGTGGCGACGGCGCAGACCAGGTGTCAAGCAGCCCTGGTGGCTACAAGCAAAACGTGTGGTAGCGCATGTGGCTACGGTCAGTCGAGGCGACCGATGGTACGTCCATCGGCCCTCCTCGCCGGCAGGTGGCACAAGGCGTGGGTCCTTCCGGCGCGCTGTCCAGCGCGTCGGGCGGATCGGAGCTCTTCGTCTACCCTCGCCTGCTGGTCAGCATTCAAGGGGGCAACATGTGCCTTTACCCAAGTCCAACAGCGCGGGAAATCCACCTTGCAGCATGGACAAACCGTGCCGTGGAGGTAACACTTAGCCTTCGTAGTCACCCTGTGCGCGATGCGCTCATGGCACGCGCGGGCGCGCGCGGAGGCGAAGCGAGCACTACACATCCGGCACTTCACTGTGAGAGGCGTGGCCGAGGACGCGGTGCAGTCGCGGTCCAGGCAGGAATCGCAGACATGCGCGCTGCCCACGATGTCGGCCCATTTCTGGCGATCACCCACCAGTTCGGCCCATTGCAGCGGTGCGTCGAAGAAGCCAGGCGTGGCGAAAGGCACCAAGCCCTGACGACGCAGGAACTCGCAGTCCGCAGCTACGAGCTTCACCCAAGGCAGAGGTTGCCCCTTCGGGCGGAAGTGCAGCAGCGCCAGTCCGGAGGGCGCAGGAGCACCAGCCGCTGCAAGTAGCGCAGCCGCATGGTCATGAGCAGGCTGTCAATCGATGCCGCTTTCAATCGCTCGCGCACGGCGCGGTCAGACCACTGCGCGCCAGGGCCGAACCGAGGATCACCTGCGATGCGGCGGAGCCCGCGCATGTACACCGCATTCAGACGGCGCAGGTGCGCCACTGGGAGGCACGCAATGTGGAGGCCGAAGAGCAAGCGAGACAGCACGAGGGACCTCAGGAAGCTGAGTTTGTGCCGCTCCGGGATCAGCTCGCTGCCGAACACTTTGTACGCGATCGGCAAGTACGCGCTCATGGCCATCTGCGTGCGCCGGAGCGCGTTAGCATAGGCCTCGCCCG